AGATGTTTGGATGTAAAATTTAAAGGATATTTGCTTCAAATAGATCTAGTTCGGTAAACCTCTTATTTCCTATGTCTTGTTAAAAGATCTTAGGCAGATGAAGATATTAGATAGAGGACAGTATTTTTAATCTCCTTAATGATCAAGGTTTGATGTGTGTACGTTGATCAGTGAACCACTGTGAGGTCACAAACATCAAGAAAATTTCATCCTGCATCTCTGTTGTCTGTAGATATAATCACTTTACTGTGTGTGAATCGTCAACATCCCTGTTGTCTGTAGATATAATGACTTAACTGTGTGAATCGTCAACATCTCTGTTGTCTGTAGATATAATCACTTTACTGTGTGTGAATCGTCAACATCCCTGTTGTCTGTAGATATAATCACTTTACTGTGTGTGAATCGTCAACATCTCTGTTGTCTGTAGATATAATCACTTTACTGTGTGTGAATCGTCAACATCCCTGTTGTCTGTAGATATAATGACTTAACTGTGTGTGAATCGTCAACATCTCTGTTGTCTGTAGATATAATCACTTTACTGTGTGTGAATCGTCAACATCCCTGTTGTCTGTAGATATAATCACTTTACTGTGTGAATCGTCAACATCTCTGTTGTCTGTAGATATAATCACTTTACTGTGTGTGAATCGTCAACATCCCTGTTGTCTGTAGATATAATGACTTAACTGTGTGTGAATCGTCAACATCTCTGTTGTCTGTAGATATAATCACTTTACTGTGTGTGAATCGTCAACATCTCTGTTGTCTGTAGATATAATGACTTAACTGTGTGAATCGTCAACATCTCTGTTGTCTGTAGATATAATCACTTTACTGTGTGTGAATCGTCAACATCCCTGTTGTCTGTAGATATAATCACTTTACTGTGTGAATCGTCAACATCTCTGTTGTCTGTAGATATAATCACTTTACTGTGTGTGAATCGTCAACATCCCTGTTGTCTGTAGATATAATGACTTAACTGTGTGTGAATCGTCAACATCTCTGTTGTCTGTAGATATAATCACTTTACTGTGTGTGAATCGTCAACATCTCTGTTGTCTGTAGATATAATCACTTTACTGTGTGTGAATCGTCAACATCTCTGTTGTCTGTAGATATAATGACTTTACTGTGTGTGAATCATCAACATCCCTGTTGTCTGTAGATATAATGACTTTACTGTATCTGAATCGTCAACATCAACATTTTGTAGGAGGCACTGAACTTGAAAATCTGCGACAAATTATCAATCAATCAGCTTAACTGATTGTGCTAGATTAACAGTCTGAATAGTGTGGCCGACATCAGTTAACACATCTGAAATGCTTAGTGAGGCGTATCTGTCTATGTGATATATCTGACATGAGTATTAGAGAGTTACTTCCCCTTAGAATTATTGATTTCTTGTAATAGCAGTTTAGGTTACCATTCAGCAATAATCATTCTTAACTAACTGTGCATGAATCGCCATATCAGGTCACTTCAAGAGGTGTTTCAACAGATCAAATTGTACATGAAATGGTTGTATCAAAAAAGATCAAAGTGGACGATAAATAATTTTGGAAATTTGTGTGTGGTGATTAAAACTCTGACTCTCTGGTGACACACAGGGAGTTGGTTTATCTACTAACAACTTTATTGGATTAATCATTCTGATTTCTTTGAATATTTTCTTGGATAAGTTCCAAAATACTAACAATTTGACAATGACAACTGGTACTGTGAACCAAGTTTGGAAAATGCTATTCAGGTAAGTATTAGATATGATGTGATACAGATTGTCAAAAAGTGTTATTTAAAAGAAGATTTCAGGATTATACCAACACAGACTGAAGGTCTGTCACTTCTTGGCCTTTCTTGTACTGTATAATTCAGATAACATTTAAAGACATGTTAAAAAAAACAGTGTTGGATGGAAACTTATAAGTACACAATAAATGTTGGGTTGCAACTTGTGCTTTCAAAAATGTCCAACTTTAAATTAGTTACTGTAGTACTATTCAGATTAGACTTGTGTAAAGTGAGCCATCTCATACTGGTGTGTCTGGATCTCTGTCTATACTTCTAAATACCTTATGTTTGGCACTTTGGAATTTGTTAGAAATCTGGAGATGCAATTTATTTCCTTCATTACTTGCAGTTTTCAAAAGTACATTTTGAGCATCAAAATAACATTGTAACATCAGAATGGATTCTGCTGGTGTTTGGGCTGGAGTTTACGTATTATATCCTGTTGAAGATAATGGTCTTTTAAAGATGTATGTAAATTAAGTGCACATGTTAAGTGCATTTGTTTTCAGGAGATTGCCATGTATATTGCAGAACTGAAGCTGTTAACTGCTTTGTACCACTCTGAAATATACTGTACATGGTATTCAGTGTGGTCACATTACACTGATAATGGACAAACAAGTCATTATATACGATAAAACAATGCAAAGCCATTAGGCATTAAATAGGGATAATTAACTACCAGTTTTAAGACACTACATGGTAGCCTGCCTTATAGTGGGTGTAACTAAAGGTCAAAGGAAGTGTCCAGGGAGACCTTAGTAAAATTACACTTATTTAAAATGATAAAAATGACATCATCAGATTTGGTCACCTCTTATGATTTATGCAATGAGTACTATATAATCCTACCTACAGGGCTTTGTTTTTGTCTGGTTTAACAGCATATTAACAATGAGTGTCATTAAGGTCTACATCAACAACACCAGGAAAAGATGCTCACAAAAGAAATCCCTATGTACGTCAAACATAAACTAAAAAGTTGAAATTCTTAAAATCTTACAGCAAAGAAACCCAATATAAATAAATCAAATTAATGGCATTGTTGAAAAAAAATTTGGATCTTTTTAAAGTCCGAGCATTCTAGGATATATTTGACTGTTAAAGTTTGATCACATACACAACAGAAGGAGGGATCTTCTCTTGATCGTATATAAGTGTGTGTGTAAACATGAAGGTATGTCAGTGTGTGTATGCTAGAGAACAGCTTCCTCATGGTTGTTTGCTCTATTGGAAATGCTAAATGCAAGAGTTCAGCTCCAAAACATTTCCCTAAAGGGCCTAAATATTTATAACCTTTGTATTCAGCATTGATCGAAATATCATGGGTAATTTTGGAAACCTGATAAAGCAAAATCTAAATCCATTTAGAAGGGCAACCTTTTAAAAAAAAGATATCAGCTTGTATTGTTTAATGTGTCACCCAAGGTCCAAGGTCATTGACATCAGAATGACCTTGACCTTCTTGTTAGTCTTACAAAACCTTGTTCCTGATGTCCCTGGTCTACAACAAGAGCTGGTGACCTTGCCAACCAAAATCCGCTTGGTATGGTTGTGGTACCCATTGAATGACAGTTTGATTATGGATCAAGGAAATGCTGAATATGATGAACATCCCTTGGCTTTCCTTTTGTAGAATCTTATTACGATCCTACATCAAGCCCACAAATTGGACATTTAACGACATATTAATTTGCCCAGACATACTTGATATAAGGAGCATTTGGCCAGGGGCAACTATACCAGTATATACAGCAAGGCTTAGGGTGGTCATCTCTGTATAAGTCGGTGTTTCTGCTAGACTGTAATTGTCTACCATATATAATTTCAACATAGTGAACTAGAAATCAGTTTCCAGCTAAATCATGGGAAAGGATGATTATAGATATGGCTGAAATGAGTATTGTACCATATTTGTTGGCTGTAAGTCTGCCTCATCCTTTACAAGAAGTCGACTGAAGATGAAACATTGTTCTGAACACCATAATACAAAACACTTGTTGACAATTCCTGTTCAATAACAATAACAAAATCTAATCATGCTGGGTGTCTAAGTTTTCAGAGAATTGCTTCTGGCTAAGGTTTTCAAAATTTAATTAGAAATAAGAATTCAAGCAAAGAGGAATTTCTGTGATTAGTGCAAACTAGCAACAATCAGTTGATACTAAACAAAATAGAGTGAACATAAGTGTGAATAATGATGAAGATTTAGGGAGCAAAATCACTCGATGGGCTTAAAAACCGAAGTACTTCACAACAGAGCTAAACAATTGTGAAGCTTTTGCTTTAAGCTCCTGCTAATTAAAAACTGATTGACATGTGCCTGAAGTTTCCAGGTCACTTGAGACAAAGTCATATGGCGTGTGTCTGTAGACATTTTTGACTTCATCAAAAAATCCTGAATTCATTTCACAGCAGTCTTCTTTGATCAAAGATTGATCAAAAGTGTGAATTGTCTTCAGCCCTTAGGGGCCTCACTAGGGAAACATGATATTTTCTTGTTATTCTTTTCTATCTATTTTGTTATCAGTCACAATCTCAACATTAGGTTATTGACTTCAGATATCACCAAAAAACAGATGTTCTGGAGTATTTGTTGTAACATATCAAAGTACACAATGTTAAAATTTAATCACCTCTGTATCACAAGGGAATTCAATTTCCTTACTGCTTTGTTGTAATGATTTACCCCAATCTTTATTATTAATCTTTCTTCTTTTCCTACATTCCACTGTAAAGGTTTCAAACACTTTTCTCACACTGATCTTCACCAAACTAGATGTGTAAACAACTTTTGTTTTCTTATTCAACAAAATGGCCAGCATTTTCTGGCTCTTGATTGGCTAAAACTTTTGTTCTATTCACCAGAACCTTCCCAGTTGACACTTACTATCCCACCATAAGACCTTCCCAGTTGACACTTACTATCCCACCATAAGACCTTCCCAGTTGAAACTTATTATCCCACCATAAGACCCTCCCAGTTGGCGCTAACTATCCCACCATAAGACCTTCCCAGTTGACACTTACTATCCCACCATAAGACCTCCCCCAGTTGACACTTATTATCCCACCATAAGACCCTCCCAGTTGACACTTATCACACCTAAACCACGGCCCCATTAGATTAAACATTGTGCTTTACATTGATAAGATGTCAAATTTCTGTCAATTAAAAATTTCATGCTCCTGTTTTTCAGAAAGCACAGTAGTGGTGACTTACATAGTCGGCTAAAGACAAGAAAGCTACTAGGTGTTGGTGAAACTGACGATGGAGATGTACACAGGTCAAAGGTCAGTACAATATCTAATATGGAAAATCAAGAAATCTAAGGGATTAATAGAAGTTATAAAGCAGAAATTATGACTGATGAACTGTTCACTAGAATTCATTCATGAATCAAGTGTGAATGAGAAAAAATTGAAGAATAAAGAATGTGGTCTTTTAGAGAAATATTTTCACATTTTCCACCATAATACAACAGGTAAGGTAATATGAAAAATTGTTCACAGATGAAAGGGTCGCTCAACGGTCCATCCAGCTACAATGATATTGAAATGTCATTAACAGGATACCGACATATCATACTTATTTTTGTGTCAGTATCATGATACATTGTTCTCCATTTGTTTCTCATTGAATTGGATGCACAAAGACTGGCTTGCTTGTCGTCCATGTAATGTAACTGTATGGGCTACTTCGTACACATTTCGACAGTTTGGTGAAAGCATGAAAAAAACTTCAGCAGTGGCTAAATCATCTGTTTATATTATCGTCAATCAACAATGGGTGTTTGCAAGAACCCAAAATATAGACACATTTTACTTTCCTTAAACACACTTTTGTGTCTGAAGGGAAAGAGTACAAAAGAAAAATTCCAATTTTCAAAAGTTTTCAACACTGAGTATGTTTTATACATTATAAAAGTATAAAAGGTTAAATTCAAACTACGAAAAATCTGCAGTTGACATATTACTCTATATTTGCCTCACACATATCTTTCCTGTATAAAATCTTTCATTTGTGAGAATTAACATCTATTGCATTGTTATTCTTTATCATTGTTCATGTTTACGTTGGTTTTACATTGTTTAACATCTTATCAACATCCATGGTCATTCCAGCATGGCCTCACAGTGCATGCAAAGAGAGTGCAGGTATTGAGTGCAGGTAGTGCAGGTATTGAGTGCAGGTTTTGGACGGTTGCAATTTCTTCATGTAAGCCTTGTCATTGTAAGGAACTGATAGTTTTATAGTGCTATCACATCAAAATATACTGACAAAAGCCCTCAGCAGGATGCACCACCTGGTTACATTACCTTGACAATAAGCAAAGAGCAAACCAGTCCTTACAATAGCTATCACAATGCCGTGGGTTAATATAGGGTTAGTAACAACCATTCTAAAGACTTCTGTATCTGTCTTGGCCAGGGAACAGAACTGAAAGCCTTCCATACAGGGGCCAATGCTCAACTGAGGGACAAAATTGAGGCAGTGTCAAAGGAGACATTGCAGATAAAGTAATTGTTTAGGTAGAAGAGAATTGAAATCCTAACATTAGTCACTCATTTATGATCATGCATTGTCGGCACTTTGTACAATTCTTATACCGTGGCTGCGGGGCTATCTGCATGATCTAAGTCAGTATTGGATTACAACTTGTGTGGTTACCTAGATCTTTCTAATATTTTTGGAAGCCAACAAATGGTTTGAATTACACATCATCAAGGCCATAGCAATGCATTCGTCAGTCATCTGATTTATTTTTCCCACCTCGGACACCAATTAATTCATCATTCTATATCAGTTATATGACTACGTGTTTTGACAAATGGAGAAAAACTTTACTCTGACATATGAATGGTGAAAAATAAAACCAGTTGAAGATATTGTGGCAAGATATAAATCAGTGTTTTGTTACAGTTCAAGCCTGATAACATGTGTATACACAAGAGAATTTATGAAATGGTGATTAATATCAAAACTGCCTTTATTAATTTTATAAACAAAACCTGTTTGTTATTTGTGAAATCAAGGCATGGAACCATAAATTAATGAGTATTGCTGCCTAATACAAGTGCACAGAAACAATACATTGATAATCAGATTAATAGTGATGAGATTAATTCCACCTCTTCCTTCTCAGAAATATATTACAAAGAACACAATAACATTTAAGAGAATATTGAAATCACTGCCACATCATGTAGCTGGATTTAACAATATATCACAATTGTTGCCACACATTCTGTTTGTTGTGTAAAAGTACCCTGTTTTAATTCAGTCTGCCTAAGGTTGTCTCATTTGTTACATTTTTTATGTCTTTCAGTTCCTACACACAAATTTAACTTCATGGATCTGCTGGTTTTTTTATAAGATTTCTGGCAAGGGTACAAATGCATATTTTAAAATGTGTATTTTTATTAAAAGGTTTTGCAGACCCGAATGAGAGAGCAATAATCTTTGGTTTTAAATTTAGGATTTGGATTAGTACCGGGTGTACTTTTGTAATTGTGTTTTCAGCTAAATCATTACATACAGTATTTGTAGACATTATCTTTTCCAATGAAATCAGTCTATACTGTAATTAATCAACTTCAATCTTCTATTTTGCAGTTGAGCCAGATACTAGGCCATAGTGATCAACTCTACGTGAGATTACCACCAGGCCTCCGAATATGGCATATTTTCCTGGCAACTGTATTCTCAGCAATAGCTGTTTGGGTAGGTACATTGAACTTCTGATAATGACATTGTGAATCCCTGTATCTAGGATTTTATCTGGGATGTCTTGATCTAGGATCATTGTTAATGCTGTCACCTTTTTTTTTCTTCTATTTTTATTTATTTTATTTTACCCCCATAGACTATTCCACATATTAGGTAACTTTTTATCCTGTTATCTTGTTTAAACAACCAGCTGTACAATATGCTTGTACATTTTCCACATCTTTTAAACATAGCAGTTTCACTATTTTTGACTTTCCGAGTATAACATTAAAAACTGCCTATAGAAAAATGGGGAACAGAGGGCATTGATCATAATGAGCTTCGATTTATGACATTAAATTGAAGGTCGGGCCTCTCACCAACTTTTTGATAACCAAGCATCTACCAATCACAGTTTTGAAATGCTCCAACTTGTAAATAAAGTAAAAACAATTGGAAACAGGTCCTACTTGATACAAAAAGTTCCTTACAGTTCAATCATAATACAGTTATCCCTCTGCAGGTCTTTGTTAAATAAACCTACTTGGAATGTTAAGGTCATACAAGGTTACTATATGACCAGTGTTTCATTGTTAAGTTGCTTCCCAAATTAGAATTTAATAATATTTAGAGAGTTTTCAGTTCTGTGGTAATATTTCTAGATCTGTTGTGACAGGCTTTCATGTTTCCTGCACACCTGTTTGACTCCACATTTGAGACAGATGAGGGGAAGAACCTCCGTTTACCTGTGCGACTCTATGGCACAGCATTGATTTGTGAGTATTTCACTGTTAAACACTTGCTCTTGTTATTAATTGGATGTTTTAATGAGATCATATCTGTTCTTATCTATTGAGTAATAGAAAGAGATGACACAACACAAACCCTTAGACCTGAACATTTTATTTGGTAGTATTAACCTTGGACAGTTGAAGACTACCATAACAGAACCCCAGGTATCCTTAGTGTTATGCTTTGTGTCAGAAAGTATCTGGGTACTTCCATGATAGGGAATACAGATAGGATATGACACCAGCGTGACTCTTACAACTTTCCAAATGGACAGGACTGCAGTCCAGAGGGTGGGATAATGGGGATCAAGACCTCACAAGGACAATTGTAAAAGAAAAAGACTCAGTCCTAGTAGTGCTCGAAATAATGGAAGTTGGCACGAGAATCACAGCAAAATTGTTTACCATTGTTATCACTGCTGTTGGTGCAAAGGTTACTGCCTTGTTTTGGAATTTGTTACGAACTATGTACATTAGCATTGATAAATTTAGTTTCCTAAACAATATGGATGGTCAAACTGCACATGGAGATTGGACTGTGTTTACTTAGGTTTGGGGTGTCCATTTGCATTTGTATGTTGTATGAATGATTGTATTTTCCAGAATTGCTTAGACAAGACTCATTGCTATTGCAATGTTAATCTTCATACAAAAAAAGTTTTAAAATGACAGTATTATCAGTTATTGAAACACCTCCAAGCTCTCTCTGGTGTTTCATTTCACGATACAAAGATTGTAATTTTAATAATGTTGCTATATATGGACATGTTGAACCAAAAATAGAAAAACCTTATATGGTTAGGGAATGTTGTCATCGATTATTTCTTAGTGAGTTGGTGCCAACGATAATTTCCACATTAACAAATCAATGACAAAGTGAAAATATCAATAACAAAGGAATGAAGTGTTAATTTTTTAACCTGTGGATGCATGAAATTTAAAAAGTTTTTACCCGAAAACAATCAAAGTTTGGCCATGATCAAAATTTATTCTTGTTTATTTAATGAGGTCTTTGAAAAAATTTCTGATATACGGAAGCATTGTTATGTACCATATACAAGGAAACTTATCCGAATTTGTGTTTGTGAATTTATCTGAAATAAATTAGATAGATTGCCTAAATATCACTTTAATATATTTCCAAGGTTTGTCAATGATATTCTGGAACACATTAAATACAGTGGATAAAGATATCATACGTCTGGTGTTGCTGTCTAGTGTCATCTTCTTCACACTCCAAACTATAGGTAAGTCTCAGTGACATGTTACTGAATATTGTGTGAACATTTCAGTTTCCCTATGTGTCTTAAATATCCGAGAGTTAAGGACAGATATTCAGTGATGTGTTCAGGCAACATGTGATATCACAGTTGGAGGATGGCCTTTAAAATTCAGTCTCATTTTAATGTGTTTGAGTGCACATGAGCTTATCTCTGATCAAATTGCACCCTGCACAGAAATCGATTTGGTCTCAAACATTTTAAAATTAATTGTAATAATATAGAGTCTCCAAGTCTAATTTAGAAAAGGTTCTTAATATCTATGTTTTAGAGATATTCTTATTATGTTTAGCATTCCAAGTCAACAGAATGATATTTTTGTTTTCGTGATTGAATTAAGATGTTGTGACGGACAATTGTTTGTTTTGGAATGTCTGAACAACAAGATGAATATTAGGCTTTAGGCATTAGAAAGTGGTCAATGGGAGTAGTATTTATACTGAACCTATCTAATTTGTGTACTAAGACCATAACACAGTGGTTTAGCCTTTTGTCAGGATAACAGGTGGAATAGAGCACTCTGCCAAGTTACATCTTTTCTGTGTGAAGGACCTAGCACAGAAATGTGTCCTTGAGATTTAATCAAAATTAGTTTGGATTCTACAATGTATTCCCTTGTGTATGTTTTGTATAACCATGATTGCAATACCACGCCATGGATACAGACTTCGAAGCCAATATAAGCGTGTTTTGCCTGCTTCAATCACTTAGCTTGACTGACCCCATTGTATGTGGACTTTGTCTCAATATGACTTAAACTAGCTGTTACAAGGTTGTGAATCCTCAAAATAGTAAACCAAAATTAGTCAAGTAATACAATAGAGACAGCTGATGTCCACACATGCAGTTTGGAAATTTCATACTCATTCTTGAATACATGCAATGTCTTGTATTTGTTTAAATTGAGGAATGAACTTAATGCTCTTTTGAGATTTAAAAACAAAATGAGCAATTACAACTTCATGTTGAAAGACACAATTTTGTGTAGCCTGACTGGATTTGTTTCCGATTAATTCATCCTCTGGAAGCATCTTATAGCTTGATCTGAGGCCAAGGTTACTTAGTGCAAACTGCATGTGTGCATTAAGCCAAAATGACAAACAATTTTTGCTAGTAATATCAGGTCAGTTGAAGACAGATACTAAATGAAACAGGAAATAAATGGAAACAGTAGGGTTCTATGTGTCTATTTTCCTTGCTGGCCTCTAACCACAGGACACAGAAGTGGAAATGTTTATACAGGGATTAAGACAATAGATACCAGCGTGAAAACAAGGGGTGTATGATACCCTAACAATGATCTGTCTGCTGTATGACCCAAGTATTGTTATAGCTATAACTGGTAATATGAAACAAAACAATAACAATTCTGTGCAGCTTACATGTTGAATGTGTTCTAGGAACTTAAAAATTCCATGTGACAAGTATCACTTTCTTTGTCTGAATATCTGTACAATCTGTAAAGGTCTCCACTCCATTGCTTCTGTGGAACTCTGTTAGAGGAAATGTTTAAATGGAATATTCCAGATGGTAGCAATCTCGGATTTGAGACTGCATCAAATACATCTTTATATACATGGTCAGAACTGCCTCAGGATTGTCCTGTAGGTAAAGCATGATCATTGATCCTGCTTCCCTTTAGCCTGATGAATGAGAGGCGACAACATTTGACATCTAATCTTTTCTCTCAGAGTTTTTCCTATTGTCACCTTTGACCCCTCCTTACTCATGTTCATTCGTTGATCATTTACCCCAGTGAAGAAGGCTTTGATTTTTTCCCCTGGCCGAGACTTACCAGAGTCCATAAAACACTCAGGATTATAGCAGTATAGTGACTGGATTGTTCTGTGTCAGTTTAATGGGTGGTAGCTTTATGAAGTTGGCATTGGATCCAAGATAAGTTTGCTTACATCAACATATTGAAACCTCCTATGAGCACATTCATCTGCCACATAAATTCAACCAGCATAATACAGGAGACTGTCGGATCATATCTGTTGTTGATGTTACACAGTATGAAACCAAACCAGTCCCAGGATCCTTCTGGCATGTCAGACTTAAATGCCACTTCGAACATGAGATGAAGATTACATTTCAAAACAGGCAGTGTGGCTTCCACGTCCAACTTGAGATTAGGCTACAAATTAATCATCGTTTGATAGAATCCTCACTTATTTTCGGCTCAAATAGATCATAAGAACTGGAGACCAAGTTCAAGCGACATATTTTTAAAAATTACACCTGTGGAATTTGAGAATAGGTGCAAAGGACATTTTCATACATATTTAGAATCAGAGTTGTGTCAAATAATTTATCTGCATGATATAGCTGTTTTTTGTTCTTCTAGAACTAAATAGATGTTCAGGAACATCATGACTGCTTAACATTGTTACAAAACCTTATCAAGCTTTCAATGAGATGGAATACACACATTCTCTGTTTTTATTCCTTTACTCTCCCACTGATTTTAGCTAAATAAGTGTAACACATTTTATTGAAGATAATGGCCATGTTGGATTTTGAATCGACCTGAATGATTTCCTTTTCTTTACACTATACTTAAGAATACTTTCATTTTGGTCTAAAGTTGTTACACATTACACAATTTCATGAAAGACCAGCACTTACTTGAAATAAATATTGATTTATTGTGATCGTAAGAAAAGACTCAATTGGACCCCGCCTGGTCACATTATACTGAAATGAGAGAAGCAGATGCACTTCTACAATACTGAGCGTTAAGCAGTGAGTACTCTGTTTTTTAAAAACACAGTGATGTCTTGGCCATAGGACAGAAGCAGAAGGTTAAATGCTCAACTAATGGTCAAGGGTGTGACAGTATCAAAGTGAGACATTAGGAAAAAAGCCTGTTAAAATCTAGTAACTTGTTACGATCATCGAGTTAAGCAGTGCCAGGAAGGCTTGGCAGAGTGTCAGTGTATGGTGTATCTTGGTTTGGTATAATGGCACTATACAGGCAAATTTTGAGTGACTCTATCATCCATAAACATCGTTTTCATTTTGATTTTGACCTTCACTGTTGTGTGAGTGTGAAACTCCTCTCTAATATCTCTACTAACCAGGGGCATCAACTGGCCACAACCGCCCAAGTGTAAATTTAGAGTAGAGGAAGTGCCAGCCAAAGAATGAGATAAATTACTTCAGACAGCTGTTTTGGTAGAAAGTGAGGTCAACTTTCACTTCACCATTACTGTTATGCTACTTTACAGTTTGCTGATGCAGATCACTTGTTCTCATCAAAAGATCAAACATAATGTAGGTCAACCTGCTTTAAATGAAATTTTACGGAAGTCTTCCCTGGCTTAAGGCGCACCAAACTTGTAAATTATATGGTCCCCAAAAACCAAAGGGCATGAGGGGTGGGGCCAAAAAGTGTCAAATTGATTGAAATTTCAAAAATCTTCTCAAATCCCAGGTATGGTAGAATGAAGTAGTCTTCATGGATGGAAAGGCATTCAGATACTATAATTTATATAGGAAAGTCACATTTTTGAACAAAGTTTCTTTGTTTTCAGTCGGAAATAGTTCAAATTTGGTTAGAATTATAAGTGACAATTTGATGAGATGCACATATTGACCTCAGCTGACTCCTAGGGGCTGATGGGCAGGACTGAAAATGGGTCAAATTGACTGAACTTTCAAAGATGTTCTACTGTTCCTGGATCAAAGATTTTATATAGGAAAATAAATTTTTGAGTGTAATTTTCTTTTAATTCAAACTTAGTTTGAAGCCTTAGCATGGGACAGCCATTAATGCTATACACAGTTTACATTTGTATTATGTGTACAATGTAGTTAAAGTTATATTACTTAACAAAATTATTTCTATGACTTGTTACAAGAAGCATTATAACTCAGGTGACCGTTAAGGCCTTTATCAGATTGAACAACTTTTAATGTAATGAGGTAGAAATGGAAGTGTGTGAGCTGTATTGAGCCAGGTAGAAATGGAAGTGTGTGAGCTGTATTGAGCCAGGTAGAAATGGAAGTGTGTGAGCTGTATTGAGCCAGGTAGAAATGGAAGTGTGTGAGCTGTATTGAGCCAGGTAGAAATGGAAGTGTGTGAGCTGTATTGAGCCAGGTAGAAATGGAAGTGTGTGAGCTGTATTGAGCCAGGTAGAAATGGAAGTGTGTGAGCTGTATTGAGCCAGGTAGAAATGGAAGTGTGTGAGCTGTAGTGAGCCAGGTAGAAATGGAAGTGTGTGAGCTGTATTGAGCCAGGTAGAAATGGAAGTGTGTGAGCTGTATTGAGCCAGGTAGAAATGGAAGTGTGTGAGCTGTATTGAGCCAGGTAGAAATGGAAGTGTGTGAGCTGTATTGAGCCAGGTAGAAATGGAAGTGTGTGAGCTGTATTGAGCCAGGTAGAAATGGAAGTGTGTGAATTGTATTGAGCCAGGTAGAAATGGAAGTGTGTGAGCTGTATTGAGCCAGGTAGAAATGGAAGTGTGTGAGCTGTATTGAGCCAGGTAGAAATGGAAGTGTGTGAGCTGTATTGAGCAAGGTAGAAATGGAAGTGTGTGAGCTGTATTGAGCAAGATAGAAATGGAAGTGTGTGAGCTGTATTGAGCAAGGTAGAAATGGAAGTGTGTGAGCTGTATTGAGCAAGATAGAAATGGAAGTGTGTGAGCTGTATTGAGCAAGGTAGAAATGGAAGTGTGTGAGCTGTATTGAGCCAAGTAGAAATGGAAGTGTGTCAGCTGTATTGAGCAAGATAGAAATGGAAGTGTGTGAGCTGTATTGAGCCAGGTAGAAATGGAAGTGTGTGAGCTGTATTGAGCCAGGTAGAAATGGAAGTGTGTGAGCTGTATTGAGCCAGGTAGAAATGGAAGTGTGTGAGCTGTATTGAGCTAGTTTTGGGTAAAGGTGAATTCTTTCTGTCTTTTTATCTTATGTTGTATGAAATTTAGCACCAGATTTTGACGTTGATTTTCCACATATTTTATCAGTTCTATATTGTCTGAAGGTATCATGAAGCATGTTGGTATTTCTTATAAATATAGCATGCATTTAGTATCTGTTTAAGATGGAATCCTGCTTTTATCATGAATTATATTTTTAAATTGGTGCATGATTTAAAACTAGAGGTTGAAATGCTAGCCTAATTTCTCTTGAATTTTGAGACAAAATATAACTAATTCAACTCTAAGGAACTGTTGTTTCAAAAACTATTTTTTGCATGCTCAGTCAATTATTCTTGTTTAAACCTCACTCTGTAAAATGTTCTTTTTGATTAATACTGACAGCTGTTAACTCCATTTTATTGTCTAAAATGACAAACATTTCTGGCAAAAATTGTTTTGCAAGTTCTGATTTGCAGAAATTTATAAAACCTTGCTTTCAGCATTCAGTACAGTTCCATTTTGTGGAAAATATGCATTATGAATGAACATGGGTTTGTGACATTTGTCACATTACAATGAATTCTAATGTTTAAAACATCAATATAGATTCCTAAAAATTCAGATAAACAAATAAGTCAACAATTTTTACTCTGTATCCAGAAACTTATGTAAAATTTGTTCACTTTCTTCCCAGTTAATGTCACCCATATATATATATATATTGTATAAGGTGACCTAGTTCCTGCTTGCGGTAGATATTTAGAAGTAGCTAGCTTTAGATTCAAACCAATTAGTATTGTTGCGCCAGTCGTATATATGTTTATTCATCTGGCCTTACCTTATACACACTTTGCTTTCTCCTTTTCCAGAAGAAACAACCAAACGTCATTTTGGTCAGTTTGTATATTCCTGATTATTACATGGACAACATGAAATAATGCACGGATTCCAATAAAATTTTCACAGTCTACGAATGTTTACTAACATAACATTATAGAATCATTTAGGAGCCACGTGTTACACAATACTATAAATACAAACCATCCTACATCAGTTCTCCGTGCTCCATCTTGTCTAGAACATATTGATGTACCAAATATTTTTTATACTTTGAACAATTATTAAGCATTGCCATTTTAATTTTAACAAACAATATCACACCTGTTGTTCCTTTTCAAAGAAACTACAAATTGTAGATACAAACACTTAAATTAAAAAAAACAAAAACAAAAAAATGTCAACTATTGGTATTAAACGTCCTTAAAAAGACAAAAGGTCATTTCATGAGGGCCTGTCAAATTCCGGGTCAACGGCAAAGCTGAGTTCTGTTGTTTCCTCTAGTTTCAGCTTTGTGTGTGCCCCTATCCACCAGCTTGTGTACTGCCCCTATCCTGTGGCTGTGCGCTAGACTTGTAACCATAGGTATCAGTAGCTATTTCTACTGGTTACTCGCCAAAGACTGCAAACCCAGGGAGCACTGGACACTATATCGAAAAAAGGTATCCATCCGCACAGTCATTCTTTTATTTTGGTTTGCTTTTTTTGCTGCACCTATTTAAGTTGTTTACTTTGTTTTGAGTGCAATAACCAATTATTGTTTTCATTTTATTATTGGGTTTTCTCCCCCAATTAAACTTTTTTTTTCTGTAGAAAAATTTATTTGCCACCCATCTATCAACATATTTGAAATAAAATAGAAATAAAGTTAATAAATACCAGGGTAGTTGAATTTACTTTCATTATAAATATGTGCAAACAAGAAAATTTCAATTATCCTTTATTTGACAGATATGATATTACAATAATATATTACATATATATTACATCACATATTGACAATTAAATGCTTCTTAGTCAAACAATAACTTATCTGAAATAACAGTTGTAAAAGAGAAATTTTCCACTTCCAATACAGTAAAGCTTTTTATTATAGTATAAAATAATTGTCTCAAATAATCACTTTTTGAAAAATGTTGCAAAAGGAACACTTTACCGTAAATAAATACAAGGGAACATAAACAGGCAGGAATAATGCAATGAAATGTTCAACTGTGTATGCATGTACTGTGTGTTTCTTTTGTCTCAGATTATTTTTCTTTGGTGTTTTATATTTTTAACTCAGTAAATATTATATTGTAAATATCCTATGTAGATGTTTTGATTATAGTTGGCTGTGAACGATCCATCTGTTTATGTATAGATAATGTTTTATTATTCATATAGTCATGTAGTCAGATATTGTTTTTATGTCCGATATATCTATGTGGTATGTACTGTACATTTGTTGTTTTATACTCATATCGGAAAATCTTATAACAATGGCTGTTTGTTGTTTTCAATCTTGATTTAAAAGTTATTTTTATTATTTATGATATGCATGAATGATTTTATGAATTTCGATATTGCTTATGCACTTACCTTATAATTGTCTTTATGTTTACATTTGGTGAAATAAGTCTCAAACAACTCAGATTTTATGCTAAATCAGCAGTACTGGAACTACCATGCCAGATAAAAACCTGATAAGTCCTTGTTGCATTTTTTCCGCTATCACGGATCTCATCGATTTCATCATCAGAGACTCCTGTTAGCTAATATCTTGAGGGAACACCGGCCATTCATAATCAGAAATGCGAGTTCTGTATGACCTGTGGCTTTGATTGATAGATTTTTTTCTAAGAACTTAACAGGAAAGAGAAAATACCCACATTAGAAGTGTCATTAACACTGTGTCATATAGAAAAATGGACAAGTTTAAACACGTTCTGTTGTCTGTTTACACATTGTATCTTCAAAATGAAACACAACTTAGAACAAGAGCATCAAAGTTTTGGGTTTGCTTTTGCTTTAATACACCTAACAATTAGTTTTTAAATATTTCGGAGAATTGCCAAAGAAAGGTATAAGTGTATTAATCATAGTTGTATGTATACGTCATCTTACATTTCCTGACAAAAGTGGGACTACCTTTCATTCTCCTAGTCATGGCCGTTTGTAGGGTTGAACTGCAGTAAAAAGTTTCTTTCATCATCATTTTAATACACATTTAACCAACATACAAAGCAGGTGTTTTACTATCTGGTATTAAAGTTGATATGCATGTCTTTTGTATTTCTTTTGATATGTTATGATGAAATAGTCTTTTTTCTATGATTTGCTACTTTCGTCTACATATTCAATGTACCATGAAAAATGTGCTAAAAGTGTATTTTTGCAATCGTTACAGTGATAACAGTTACTACCCTGGGAGAAGGGACCTTCACCAAAGGCTGGTTCATATCTCAAGGGTCTCAAACCTTGCTCGTCCTCATAAGCTACTTCTACTACTGGGCCATAGGGGGTCGTCTTGTATCCCTCATGGTAATGACAAGGTCAAACTCCACACGGGACCTCAGGGACGTCAAGGACAAGGACCAGTAACTATATGTCAGGACCACAAGACGTTGAAATAGAGGATGTTTGGAAAAGGGGAATTTTCGGAATTATTGGCAGATTTTGAATAATTAGGGATAGTACAGAAACTGAAAGATGGATTAAGATTCAATTTTAAATTGTCAACAATGATCACATAGAATAGAAATGTGATCGTCTGTTTTTTGGATAATTAACACATCTTATGGAATATAATGAGAATATAATGTAAATTATTTATAAAAGCTTATTATACTGTTTACAAATAAAGTCATGTTCATTCTTATATATTTATTGTTTGTATGGGATTATCAATGTAAACAAGTTTAATTAACATATAGCAGGCATACATGTCTAATGCTTTCCAGTTGCAATGGCACATAACAGGAACATGCATGGAAATGGCTTTAGGATATGTATAGAATACTATAGTGTATATAATTTATACCAGTACAGTTGGTGCTGTTTTAAAACCTTTTAAAACAATCTTGAAGATCAAGTGTGATGTTATTTCTGTGTTCAATTCAAACTTGTTTGTTTAGAGGTGATTATACAATATTTTCATGTAACAGTATATGGATTCCAGTTATATTTGTGATATGCAGAATTTTAGCATATTTATCTTTTAAAACAAAAAGAGACTGTAGTCAATCCAGGGGCAAAGTTATTGATACTTTGTACGATTTGATTGGCAGGCGTAAAATAAATTTATCTTGAATGCATGTTCGGAATTTAAGTGATAGCTTTCCTGTACATTGTATCCTTTTTCATGGTGCGTTAGCATTTGTGTTTATATAACCATTACAATCAAACTGTATATACATCACTCTCATAATACCGTAGCCCTGTGGTTTACGACAGCAAGCATTCATAAACCATGGCAACAGGGTTGGTAGCAGTTGTAACAATGACAACAAACTATGTAGCCATGCCTTGTCTTGACAAGGAAGATCCTTTCTTTGGTAGAGGTAAAATATTATATGTCAGGTAAACATCTAGAAATTCAAAATATCTAAATGCTCTTGTGAAACTTAAAACAAAATATTTAAAATGTTACTTTTTACTAAAACTTGCAATTATAAAACAATCAACACTAGTAGATTACAGAATAATTTTCAGAAGGCCAAATTGAGATTGTAATTAGTAAATTGCCAGACATACAGGTGGCATGGCTGATAAATCCAAATAATACTGGTAGATTTCAAAAAATGGCAGTAATCACCTGCTTTTGGAAGTACATTCAAATGTCTCTTTTTTCATACATTTGTTTAGTTTGCAGATGTGATTTCTTTGCTTTATCTGTATGTGTTAGTAGTGATAATTAGTATAAATATCTATCGTCAAGTGTTTTAATTAATCCATAAACGTCACTGCCTGATTACCTGTTGTACGTGTTTGCTATTCAACAATCACCAACATAGCGTTGCAAGTGATATATTGGCAATATGGCCTTAATAACATTAAGTAAAGATTGTTTCCAAATAACATTTTGATTCTGCTACATATTGTTTAGAAGTCCTGACTGATTGTACAAAAAAAACACATCTCTTACTTAAAATTAAGTGTTAGATTTAGTAGAATTAAACTGCATCATACAGCCACTGTGTTTTGTCCTTCTGGGACTTGTCAGCGATGCTAATGGCCTACCTTTTGAAACAAAGACCGTAAAGAGAATTCAAAGTGATCAAAAAAGTGAAAGAAAATCTAGATGAAGGTTTCTCAATTTACATATACCTGTTAATTTTATAACATCAAGTACATGTGTATATTCTGAACAGTTTCACTATTAGATTGGATTAAGAGTGGCGGTCAGGTCAAGTTAGTGGCTTTGGGATGATCCAGCATTTGACAGGCTGCAAAGGTTGTTGATATAAACATAAACAATGGCATATAAAGGTAAATTTATTTTAAGAACTGACAACTTGTTATTATGATGTATTTTTATATGTCTAACTCTATTTTCACAAATATCTGTTGATACTTCTTTATTTATGCTTGTCCACTTAAAAAACATTAATATACTTAAGGGAGCAATTTTTGTTCTGTAATTCGTCAGATAGAAAAGTACTTTGGGAAGGTATGCGAGATTTTGTCTGCATTTCAATACATCATATACAGTTATTTAGCTATTAAAGTGGTCATAAGCAGTGGTTATCAAACTGGCTGTCAATCAATTTGTATCTTATTCCATTGGAGTGTCAAAATGATGATATGGTTGTGTGGATGTGTCTTCATTTACAATGGGGTTTTTTTTGTCATGTAGAATATAAACGTGCCTGTTTTCCCATCTATTGTATCGTAGTTGGGGTCAAAGGATCATAAAATATATACAAAGTTTTCACCTTTTCATATTTGACTTTGTAAACTTTCTTCTTTAGAATCCCTTCAATTTCGCAAATATTTATAACAAACCTATATACATATATGTTAATTACAACATCGGTTTTGTTATAAAAATAGAACTTTTAGAAAGAATCAACAGATTTGATTATCATCTGAAGATTCCAGTCGGCTTTGTTCCATGATCCCAGGGCCAAGATTCTTCCACTTCAGTTTCCATTTATCATAAGTTAAGTATCATTGCCACTTTATGGTGCCACTATTTCAAATTCTGATAACCTTCATATTTTACATGGTTCGGTTGTTGACATCAAAATGTAATATCTGACACCAATGACTAATGATTGATATTCTCCTGTTAATGATGGTACTTCACCGTGTATCCACTTAACTGATATACACTTAAGACATCATTTAATTAACACATCAATATTAAATAGTTGAGTCTAGATTTTAGTTAACAGGGAAATGTGCAGGTGATGAAACAATTCAATACTTCAATACATGACGAGTTGCCTCCCTTTTAACCTTCAAAGTCTCAATTCATATTTCAATAATGTTCTTGTTACTGATAAGGAAACGACATGTTGAAAAAATCTTTTATCAATGATTTCCACTATTACTATGTATATTGTGTGTATAGTAAAACTTTACCCATCATCCTTTAAGACTTTATGTATCCTGTAAGGAGCTACATATATACTGCCTCATTTGACATTCAAGGATTATGTGCCTGTTAATACATTATCTGATGTTTTTAATACAGTAAAACTCAACTGTCAGTGTTTATACATTCAAAAAATTTGGAACAAATATTTCTGAAAACAAAATTTTTTCTTCCTTGATATTTTGGCTTTGTGTAATGTCTTTTCCCTCAAATTGACAAAGTATAAATAGTGATATAGTGTATTTTATAAGATGTTTATAATGAATTAGAATATTTATCATGATCATGTCAATGTTTATGCAGAAATCATGAGCATTTGATATATACAGAACTCTCTTGACGAGTTAAGTGTCTTTCAAAGTTTATCAAACTAGCTAGTGAATGTACTTTAAAACTGTTTTGGAAAGTTAATAAGAGCAGACACATTCAGCATTGGAAGTAAGATGCCTATCCTATCTGGTCACACAACAATGGTTCCATTACATTGGTCACCAAGTTCGTGTTTCCAAACTTTTTGTATTTTGTGTTTTACCTACGTTGTGAATGTACCAATCACTCCATTGTTTCAACATATAGACTACAAATAAACCATATTTTTGAAATGAAGTGTGCAGTATTGTTTTGTTTGGTCTTCAGTGAAAAATCTTTTCACTTCAGTTCATGAGAAATGGGGAAAGGATTTTAACAAATTGGCAAAAAATTACTGTCACAAATATTGGGAGGATGTCAGGAAAAAGCAATCATTCCCCTCAGAGCCCCTGGAGGACACAAGTGCCTTCTGTAAATGTAGACTATTTTACAAATGTAAATGTGGGATGTTGGGACGAGAGGAAAACACCACATACCTCATGAGGTGTCAGAATGCACCAATGAATGAAAGGATCAGTTGTAATCCTCTCGGGTACAGTTTCCCTGGGTATCCTGGGAGTGCTACCTGTTGTGTAGTGTTGTGTAGGTTTCTGATGTGATGGAGTTGTTTCCCTTTGATGTTTCTGTTTCCCGTTTTTAGGCTAAACGTACTCAGTAAGTTGTAATAACTTGTACCTAATCCTGTTGTAATAATTTTTGCAATAAAATATGTTTAATTCAAAAATTAATGCTAAACGTACTCGGTACGAATAGCCTACTGCGACGGCCTTTCTGACAAAATTTACCGATCCTGGCCTTCTCATTGGCTGAAATATCGAAAAGAGTTAGAGCCCTCTAGCGGCAATTTTCTGCGTAAATAATGCCGCAATCTTTCAAATCGCTATTTTAAAAGCATCCACAATTAGTTTATTTTTTAAAATAACAATACGATTACTATATATTTAAAATAAAGATGCACAGTGTGGTTGAACTACTGATAAATTTTGAACAATATATTTTACTGAATTTGCTCACGGACATCCCCGACCTCTGCTACTGAAGAAGATCGAGCTGACGTGACTCTTATCGCCTGCTGTGAATATTCCTAGAAAACAACCATATTTACCTTAAGTTAGCCAAAAAATGGTTTCTTGTATCTTCAAAGTTTATTGCAACTGCATGACTTGATTTACAGTGTATTTATTGTATGACAGGGCTTATGAATCCTTCTCGACATGACGTAAGCGCACAGAACACTGTACGTGCGAGTTGGCGCCATGATAAGAATCTAGTCTGGGGGCTTGGTTTGAATTATTAACTAACAGCACTTATAAACAAATAAAACTTACAAACAGAACATCAATTTTGTTTCAATCCTTGTCGTTGTGGCAAGATCGTCTTAATATATAACATCACTTTACCTCATTAGACGTCACAAAATTGGACTGTTCGTCCCACGCGCATACCCGCCGATATGACAATTTTTCAGGTTTTCCACACCCACCGCCATGACACTTTTTCAAGTTTTTGTAGATAAAAAAGTTTGCGCTTCGTAGGCAAGGTACAATTGATGCTCATGATTTATGAATGATATATTTTAAATACTGTACTGATCATGATGTTGACTCTGTTATAACTTATATTTTTTATCTTTTAGTTTTATTTGATGAAGGTTGATTGTGCTGATTTCTCTAGGTTTGTTAATGTGTATCAAAGTTCCTTGAAATGAAAATATTCCTTCAAACAAAGCGCTTATTAAAAAAAACCAAAATATTCATTTCTATAATTATCAATTAAGTAAAACGAAATATTTCTATAACATATTTATTCATTTTGCGTGTCATGGTGACATTATCTAATGCATTGGAGATCAGAAATAGTAGTAGCTATAGTGAAAATATTGTAAATTTTGTATATATGTATGGAAGTCTGGTTTAATCTCATAGAACTATGTCTTTATAGATATAATTACTGGAATAAAAATCTAACCATGATACTTCAAGGAAGATAGGCATGTAAATACATTTAATGTAATTAAATACAAATTTAATTATAATAAGTAAGGACTATTACTTTGCAATATATTTGAAATAGAGAAGTAGGTATAAAGTCCGCTTGATTTGTCTAAATCCTCATATTGATAGGATAGTAATTGCAACATCTTGGGGATTTCAAAGGTTTTATGTAGTCAACTTCATCGTAGAGCTATTTGTCATTTGGCTTGTTGGCGATAAATATATGGTTGTGTGTATTTTGTTATTTTACTTTTTGACCTATTTTGATTTGTTCACATCATTGTCGTCAAATTTGAAATAAGAATTAAAGAAGATATGAAATCGCTTAAAATTAAGGAAAATAGCCTCTGGTTCTCTTATTTTATTAATTTTTGCATTCCAAAGTGTAGTAGTATGGGGAAAGTAATATAGCTTAGCGGTTATTTGTGGACATTTTACAATACGTTTAGCCTCTCAGTACTTTGATTTGTTTTTGTTTTCGTCTGTTGCTCCTCCAACTGGTTTGTGCTGTATTATTACTACTGTGTAGTAATTACATCACTATGTCAGTGTACATGTGTTGTTAGTAAATACACACACACGCCTGTTACTATAGAATGTAGTACCACTACTGTGTAGTAATTACATCACTATGTCAGTGTACATGTGTTGTTAGTAAATACACACACACGCCTGTTACTATAGAATGTAGTATCACTACTGTGTAGTAATTACATCACTATGTCAGTGTCCATGTGTTGTTAGTAAATACACACAAACACCTGTCACTATAGAATGTAGTATCGCTACTGTGTAGTAATTACATCACTATGTAAGTGTACATGTGTTGTTAGTAAATACACACACACGCCTGTTACTATAGAATGTAGTATCACCACTGTGTAGTAATTACATCACTATGTCAGGGTACATGTGTTGTTAGTAAATACACACACACGCCTGTTACTATAGAATGTAGTATCACTACTGTGTAGTAATTACATCACTATGTCAGTGTACATGTGTTGTTAGTAAATACACACACACGCCTGTTACTATAGAATGTAGTATCACTACTGTGTAGTAATTACATCACTATGTCAGTGTATATGTGTTGTTAGTAAATACACACACACGCCTGTTACTATAGAATGTAGTATCACTACTGTGTAGTAATTACATCACTATGTAAGTGTATATTTGTTGTTAGTAAATACACACACACGCCTGTTACTATAGAATGTAGTATTACTACTGTGTAGTAATTACATCACTATGTCAGTGTATATGTGTTGTCAGTAAATACACACACATGCCTGTTACTATAGAATGTAGTATCACTACTGTGTAGTAATTACATCACTATGTCAGTGTACATGTGTTGTTAGTAAATACACACATACGCCTGTTACTATAGAATGTAGTACCACTTCGGAACGTCTTAGCTCTCTTGGAATCTAGAAATTTGTACTTCATAGCTTTATTGCTTCTTTCAATCGAATTTTCCAAAAATAAAAAATCTTGTAAAACTCCATTCAGAATGACAAGTATATGTACGTGGTGACACTAATCAATGTTGTTACAGTTATAATTATGTGATTTTTTCAGGTAAATCTACCAGTACCGATGGTGATATTATGAAAAAGACTATATATAATCCTTATCCAAACAAACTGCCCTACATCGAAATAGAATGAAGTAATTTGTAAATCCGTGACACTTAAAAAATCTCAATAATATCCAGTCTGGCCATTGTAATTTTTATAATTCGTCATTTTAATTTATTAGTATTACTTTTGTTACGAAAATGAGATTCCCTTTTCGCTGTTCGACAAATTGGCTCTGGTCAATGCAAAGACAGCATATATTTTGAATGTGGCACAGGTAACTAACTAATTGAAGGCTTTCACGTCTCAATCAGCCGTCTGTCGCTGTGATCATTTTATTATACTAGTCTTAGAAGATGGCTCCAAGGCCTAATATTGCCTTAACCTAACTCTAGCAAGCAGAAAATGCCCAGAAGCTGAGCGGAAGAGTTGGGGCCTATATAAATTTGGTTTGTGTTAGGGTAATTTTGAAGTCTGTCTAATGCCTTAAAAATAATGGTATAGTCTGGCATTGTCCCTGGACCTCTAGACCGGTGTTATTTCGCCTACTCTTTTTACGAAAAGCCACAGGAGGATTTAGGTCTCCGATTCAAAATTATAAACCGACATTTTGCCCAGGGACGTATTACAGAGGGTAGTCGATGCTTTTCTGGTGTTAGCTTTTGTGTCTGCTCATTCATCAGTCAAGCAAGTGCCTGTTCCTACCCGCCGTTTGTGGTTCCCATCTGAATTTGGATAAGAATACATGTAGGTTTTCTATTCGTCATACTCATTTAGAGCGACATTTGAAACTTAATTCCGGTTGTGAAATGATTTGTCGTCTTGCGATTTATGCAAAGCTGAATCATTTGCTAAAAAAGACAGAAGAGTCGACTAACCCCGCCGGCAACCAATGAGAAATACAATGGATGGAGCTCTGTGGTGTCATTGACTTTTTGATAGGTGTACACATGACGCTTTAGTCCTTGTAAGGTATAATAAAAATAGTAAACAGATATGTTATTACCTGGTGAGCAAAGAAATCCCTTCCTCTTGATACAGTTAATCCATTCTGAAATACAACTTGAGATCTGATTCTGAAATAAAAATCAGAGATACATGATTTGATTCTGGTGTTCAAGCATCTGAAATGTGCAGATCTTCTCGAAAAATGTATGTTAAACAAGCATGCATTGCTGAAGCAACACGTGTCCCCTGCCGGTATACAATTAATTTGTAACTGATTTCAAAGAGACAATATTATATAAACAAGTACGACGATACAGTTTCGTTACTTTTTGTGTAATGATGTGGTAAGGTCATTTATGAGTGGGTGAGGTTCGATCAAAATCCTCTAAGGAATGAAAATGCTAGAGTGCTGATAACGATTTTCTGAGAAAAAAAAGTGATGGCGACCTTGATCTTAATCCAAAGCTGTGAAGTTCGGACTTCTTTAAAATATTAAAATGCTTTAAAAGTTTGTGGATTTCTATAACAATCGACCAGAGAATGACGACGTCAGAGCGCCGACAACGATTTTCTAATTGTAGTAAGTGACCTTGCCCAAAAGTTTGAAAAAAGTTTGGTGAGAACTTTTAAGAAATGAAACAGCTAGAGAGATGACAAAGATTTTCTAAAAGTAACAAGTTACCTTGATCTTGACCCAAAAAACCCTGAA